AAAAAAAAAAAAAAGAAAGAAAGAAAGACCCAGAGTCAATGAACAAAAATCCCTATCTGCATTCTATTTTTTTTCCTATTTGCATTCTTTAAAAAAACTATTCGTTAAAGAGTTTTCTGTAACAAATGCAAGCAATAGGGAGCACTACTGCAAGAAAGAGGCGACCTAGGACAGGACGAGAAGCCGCAACCTCTGCTCACCCTACCTGGGGCAGAAGCGAGGAGTTTTCAGAGATCACATATACAGTCAGGGAGCCCTCTGCTTGCTTCTGTGGCTCAGCTAACACGGTTTCTGCCTCTGGGGACAAGAGCAGAAGGTGCACCAGGAGCAAAAACACCATTCCCTTTCCCTCTGGCCCCCACAGAGGGCCTCAGCCACGGCTCCACCTCCCACTCACACCTGGCTGACACTGTGGCCAGGCTCGGCCCCTGGTGGCCCAGGCTGAAACACACGGTATCTCATTCCCAGCTTTCCCAGAGAGATTCTGAAGTTAAGACAAGGTATGGAAAATACACACTTAGAGATCAGAAGAGAAAAAGAGGGCTTCGTGTTAAACTAGCGTGATCACCCCTTCTGGTACCTTGCATACTGCCCAGTGACAGGGCCTCCTCCTCGCGCTCCAGAGCCCTCCGATAGGCCTTCTGGAAACGGCATTTGATTTTCATTTTGTCTGAGAGGAAAAGGAAGAAGCAAGATAAGAAGACTAAGTACAGACCTCTGTCCACCTTCCCAGCCCTCACACTGTCCGGTGTCTCAGGACAGCCAGAATATTGTTTGCAAAGAAAGACCAGGAAGCTGTAGTCAATTCTAATGATTTCTACATGGATGATATCAAATACACAACACCCCACCTCTCCCACCTAACTAGCTCTTGCCTCTGCCTGTGTACACCCTACCATCAACCTGAAGTACCCTCCCAAAGGGAAATCTATTACAATATTCATTCTATTAATAGGTGAAAGGAGAAAAACCATATGACCACTTCAATACGTGCCTCAAAATAATTAAATTCAATGAATGTTCTTGATAAAGATAAGATGCACACTTAATGACAAAACACTAAATGCAGTTCGGTTAAAATTAGTAATAAGGGGCACCTGGGTGGCTCAGTTAAGCACCTGACTCTTGATTTCCGCTCAGGCAGGGTCGTGGGATCGAGCCCTGCATCAGGCTCCACACTTAGCGGGGAGTCAGCTTGTCCCTCTCCCTCTGCTCCTCCCCCTGCTCGTGCTCTCTCTCTCCCCCAGATAAATAAATAAATAAATAAATAAAATCTTTTAAAAAATTAAAATAATAATAAATTGAGGATGCTGCTATCTCCTCTGTTATTCAGCATTGTTCTTTCTGAAGTTCCTGACCAATGTAATAAGGGAAGAAAGAGACATGAAACATGAATATTTGAAAGAAAGAAACAAGACGGCCACTTTTTGAAATAGCATAATTATTTTCCAAGAAAATCAAAGAGAACCAACTGGAAAACTATTAGAACTAGTAACAATTCAGTACAATGACTAGATATACGCAAGAATTAGTAGCTTTCTGATAAGTGCCAACGATATCCAATTTGAAAAGCAAGTGTTTTTTAAAATCCCAATCACCATAATAATAAAGAACATAAAATACCCAGGAAGAAATGTATAAAACTATAAGAAAAACACCGAGGACTTCACTGAAGGACATAAAATAAGATCTGAATGAAATGGGAAAAGTATACAAGGTTCTTAGATGGAAAGACTAAATATTCTAAGGATGTCAATTCTCCCCAAGTTAATCTATACCTGTAAGGCAATCCCAAAGGGATTTTTTCGCCCTCCTCCCCCGAAATTGAGAAGTTGAACCTAAAATTTATTGGGGGGGTGGCTGGGTGGCTCAGTCGTTAAGCGTCTGCCTTCAGCTCAGGTCATGATCCCAGGGTCCTGGGATCGAGCCCCGCATCGGGCTCCC